TAGAGAATAAACCCTTGGGTTTATCAGTTTGCAACGTATAACAAACCCTTCGTGGGTTTTTGAAGAAAAAAGGGTTGATCTAGGGGTAGATCAGGTTGATGAACAAATTTTTCAGTCATAAACCCTTTTTGAGGGTTGATTAAACGCCGGATTTTTTTTTTGAGTGTACTCTCAACTATTTTTTCTATGTCTTATTGAATTTAATTCGCAATAAAACTTGCTTCATACTTAAATATTATTGTCCTTTCGAAACAAAGCTAATCAGAGGACACAACGTTTGACACCCTCACCCTCAAGAAGGAAAAAATCTAGATGGTACTTTCCCAATCGTTTTCTCGTGGATAAAAATGCTATTATTCGATCCAGAATCAAATTCTGCATGGAATGGATTGATATTCAAGGATTCCCATTCAGTTTTTCGATTTTCGGTGGTAACTTCACATCGATTTATCTTAGTTATCCTCTCTTTTCTTTTTAAAGAATGCTACAAAAACAATGAAATTTTACTATTTCAACGGATTTTCAATAAAGATGATGACATCGAAACATCATTGAACTTGAATAAAGATGGAAATTCGCCTCGAAACTTTCTCTCTATGAAGGGATAGTTAATTAAATCACATTATCTACATATCGAATAGATACAAAGTTTATTAGTAAAGCTAATGAAACTATTTTGAAATGAACAAATCAGAATGAAAAAATTGATTTATCTTTGAAATGAAATGACTGATCGAACACGATTGATTAACGTTTTTACAGTTTCATAACGATGTTGTAACCATTGAATATCGTGAACACGTTCACGAATCTTTCGTCGCAAAACTATATACATCGTAAGAGAATTTCCCAAGAATAAAATCAAAAATATTCCTGAAAGAATCTTCAACATAAATTGCCAATGAGGATTTGGTTCGCTTTTTGGATCTATTGAAATTTCAAAGAGAACATACGCATTATACAATTGAAATACATATCCAATCACAAGAAATGGTGCAAGAAATGTAAGACCACGTAACATCCATGATTGAAAACCTCCAATAGAGATTTGAAATTCATCGGAATCTCCTAATGCTCTCAAACGATAAAGAAGACCCCGTTGATAATAATACAAAAGCACTTGAACGAAAGTTATATACAAACTAAATACATAATGCTGTTGCCGAAAGATTTGATAGGATTCTGCTGATGGCCAAATTAAGACAATACATGTCGATATTGTTGCAATAAAATGATGTAAACGCCACCATGGTTGTATTTTGGAACCGTTGACAACAAGAATTGATTCACGAATTGTTAATGTACAATAATACCAAACAAGTAAGAAATGAAAAAGTGCATCCAACGCACGATTCATTGGTATAATCGTCGACATTAATAATGATATAATCATAAGAATTAGTGTAACACGTAATTTAAAATGTTCATAACTTTCTTTATATTTCAATTGTTCAGATTTATTTAAAATCGAAACAGGTAATTGACTTCCAAGAATGATGCGTAAATAAATTTCCGATGGTTGTGGCAATGTATATTGAATTCGTTGGAAATAATTTGAACGTTGTTCAATTAAATATTCACGAATTGTACCAAGACGAATGAGACGTTCTTCCAACTTTTCATTGTCATTATCAGGTAGAATAATTAATGATTGATGAATATCAATAGATTCATTTAAATGCTGAATCTTTTTCTCAAGTTTATTAAATTGAATTTGATGTTCATTTTTGAGTTTTTCAATTGTTTCTAATTGACTTAAATATTTTTGATGATCTTCTTTGAAAGTATTGATCTCATCAGATAATTCTCCCCATTGTTGAATAAGATTTTCAGTTTCAGCATCGAATGTACCGTTGGACTTGATCGAACATTTTTTACGTCGTTTGATTCTTTTCTCTAATTGCAGTTGATTGTCACTCACCATATTTCACTTGATACTCTACGAAATGAAGAAAGAAAAGAAAAAGCGACGTACGTTTATACGTTCGATAAACAACCCATACGCTCGGATCGTGATAGTACAAAGGAAGAAGAAAAAAATCCAAAGGTCACTTTGCTGATTAAAATTTGATAGCATTCTCGTTATTTTTATCCAAAGTACCAACATTTAATTCATGGCTGATAAATTTAAATAGACTTTCAATTTAGAATATCTTTATAACGAATAAAAACGGACATTTTTCGTCTGCCATCATTCCTTTCTACTATAGAAGGTTAAAAGTGCGCGTGTACCGAATCAACTTCAAAAAATTATTCAATAACTTGAAATATTTGTGAGAAATCTGTAGATTAATTGACAATTGTCTAGATTGATGTTATTGTTGTTTGTTCACAGGACAAGTCTTAATTAAACAGTACGTTTAAAGTCGATAGAAAATGAGAAGCAACTGTCCAAGAGATGATTCCTTTACATGAAAGTCAAGGTCGAAAGAAAATCAATTTTGGTCAATTATGCATTTCCTGCACTTTCGTCTTTCAAAACAAAAGAGTTAGGGAAATGAAACAACAAGTTCTACTTATATTTGTTTTGTTCTTGCTCGGAAAGCGATGGAAAGAGATTCTTCGATGAAAGGACGGTCGGTCGGATCTAATTTTTACTTATCACTGCTCAAAATTCGAGATCTCGAATGAATCACCTTGCGAGAAGAAGTTTTTTTCTTCTTTTTACAAGTTTAAAATCAGACACGGCAATAGACATAGCTCAAATGTAACTGAGAAAACGATTAACGCGCATATTAAACTTTCAAACAAACAGCTGTATGAGCTGAAGAGAATAAAAGCATATTCATACTCTCTTGATTTACGTAAGATATCTTAGGCTAGGATTCGAGTTTTTCTTGAAAATATTCGCCTGTAAGTTAGACCAAGTTAGACCAAGATAGAACTCGACGAGCTCTATCGAATGAACACCTTCCCGGCTCGATTCGACTCTTTGATCCCCTCTGAAACAGCAAATTCTGGCTGGAATCCCGATTTTCGCGGTATTTCGCAACTGGATTCGCCTATTGGTTATACCAAACAGTCAAAATGGTATACCAAGATACATCTTGATGAGCTCTATCGAATGAACACCTTTCCGACTCGATTTGATGTTTGAAACCCCCTCAAAATGGCAAATCCTGACCAAAATCCAGGTTTTCGCGGTATTCCG